ATCAGATGCTACATCAATTATAATAATCCAGTATCCTATTACAATTGCATAATTCAGATAAGAATTTGTGTTACGAATAGAAACGAAACCTACCCAAAGAAAAAAGTAAAGACTGATGATACTCTCTAGAGCAGCTGGAAACTCTAGCGGCAGTAGCATTACCCATATTTATTTCATCATTACACATAAATATTATGTTTTTATACTTGTATTTATTCCTATAGATAAAACAGTGTCAACTTCTATCCAGGATTTACGTATACACAAACAGGAAGTTTTGGATTAAATTCTTCATACTTTGTAATTTGTCCTTTATTTTTTTTTGCCAATCATAAAAATTTTCTAAATTTTATCTGATCTTTTCGTAACTTTAATCCTCTGGTTTCAACAATGAACATTAGAATTTTTCTTTTTCTTTTTACAACTTAAAGGATTTGGTTGTTTGGGACCTTTGCGCTTATTTTTCTTTTTTTCTTCTGATCCGTCCATTGTTGATTTTTTCAACAATAATATATCGGAATTGGCATTTGTCAAAAATGAAATTTCTTCGTTTGATGGTTTTGTTTTTTCCATTTCAATCTATACTTGATGTTAAATTTATATTTTAATGCCATCATTATTATTGTTATTATTATTCAAACAATATAACATATTAATATATAATTACTTGTTTAGATTTTTCCAATGTTATACGTGAGGCTGGTTCAATTATTAAAACTGATCTCTTAATATATAATAATGGAACACCTGGAACATTACGAAACAACTCGCGAAGTGAATCATTTTGAGTCGCGACACAATAATTATGAGGATTATCCTTTTCTAAAAAGATATATAATATCATAAACATTTGTCATTGCTTGAAAAGTGATCAAAAATGAAAACATTTTGCGTAAAATTTGATTGATACATCCACCTACCTATAATTGAAGCTAAACATTCTGCGCTAGACACAGGTTTACGTTGATGAAAACAATTACGTCTTTCAAGTTGTATTAATGCATCCTCTGTACCAAACTCATCTTTTCCTCCTTGTTTTCTTAATTCATTTAAAGTACAAGACGTGTACACTTTTTTATTTTAT